ATCTGAGTTTCATGGGCAAAGCAGTGCATTTTTATGGTTTGATTTCCAGACTCATGGTTTGTTTATCAAGTAAGAAATGCATTGTAGCAATGTTCAGCTGCTTTAAGAAGAGTGAAAAAGTTTTACTACGCAAGGTTTATTTATTAGCCTGATGTCTCATGTTAAACTGATTGCGGAAACATGCATTTATATGTGCCGCAAAAACATGAAATCTATGTTTTTTTAACAGTTTTTGGAAAGTTTTCATCAAAAAACATGTAAAAAAGATTATAAAGGTAATGAAGAATGGAAACAGTCTGAGACAGGAAAAAGTACAAGTGATTATGTACCATGTAATTGAGTATTTCATAAGCTCACTTGCAGACAATAAAAATGAACTCCCAAAAAACGAGCAATACTTTTATTTTTCTTTTTGTAGAAGATACAGAGATTTTCCCTAACCTACTATAATTTTTGAAGCTACTCTTGAGTAACAGCTCCGTGTTCCACAATTGTTTTTCTTGTCATTAATTTGTATTTGATGACAGTTGTGATGCGTCCAAAACAAAGAGTGGCCATTACTCCATATTCTAACTGGCGATGTATGTTTGTCTTTAAAGCCTGTCAAAACATAAGACATGAAATATCTTACAAATTGGCATATGAACAAATGTAGTATCCTTTAAAATGGCATCATTTAGGAATACATTGCAAATGCAAAGGATTTATTTTAAAGGTGTGTTAATAACGTTTCATTTCGTGCCATTTCAGGGTTGGGGAGTTGGGCTGGATTGGGCAATTCCAGAAAATATCCATACCCAACCACGGACGGCTTCCATGTTTTATCCCCCCCTTGCCTTCGAAATTTCAAAATCGTTACCCCCAATGCCCTCAGAATTCCATAATCGTGAACCCCCTCCCTTCAGAATTTCCGTTTTTTTGGAAGTACATTTTCAACTTAGCAACACCTACAGGAACAAACGAACATGACTTTATGCCTCCTCAAGGCTGTGATCTAGCGGCGCCAGGCGACAAGCTTTCAGACTCTAACCTACCGAATTTGGCAATAAAAATAAACACCACTAACGGCAATTTTACTCTTTGTTTTCTTGTGCTGTTTTGACGTTTACAAAGCAAAATAGCTCAAATTCAGACCGTTAAAATCTTTCGGTGGTCAAATATACCGTTGAGGCGTGTTGCGTCCTTTTATACGTCATGTAGTGTGCACGAAAAGTGCTCTAATCTGACAGGCGTTCCTTGGAAGCCAGGGACTGGTGCGATTTTTTTTTACTGTTCATCGGACGGGAGTAACAAGAAACTTGCAAGCAGTAAGATACATATTCCGTTTTTTTTTTCATGTGACAAGAAATTCATCAAGGTTAATGTGAAACCCACGTTTTACTGTTCACTTCTATAACTTATGAGCGTAAACACGTGTCTGATCTATCGATGCTTGTCTTCTGCTTCCGCGGTCATACGTTCGTGGTTTATTTACGAACTACCAAAGTCCACAACAATAGCGTTTTCAAGGAACTCACTCTACACTTTCTACTCCAGAAATCCCACCTGTGGAATTCCACCATGCCTTCGGATTTCCAATCGCAAATACCCCCCATGCCTTCAGAATTCCATAATCGTGAACCCCCCCTCCCCTTCGGAAATCCTAAAAGCCGTCCGTGGTATGGTATGGATATTTTCTGGAATCGCCCATTATGTTTAAAATGCTCAAATGTTATATTAATTTGCATGATGAAATGTAAACAAACAGTGAGCCATCAAAATAAGGTGGAAAAAAACTCAAATCAGAATTCAAACCAATTGCTGTAATTTATTCCTTTGTATAACTAAATAAGACAGTTTTCTTATTTTCAAAACACAATCTTACTGGCATTGGTATATGATTTAAAATTTATAGCTGAAGTTCATGTATTTTATCTCTCCACGAAGACGTGCCAATGAAGAAAGCTGAAGTTACTGCAGAAAGCAATTTTTTCAGCCTTCATCAAACCACCATTCATTCACAGAAGTGTTCTTAGTTTTGTTGTAGTTCAATTTTTTTTTCTGGTTTAATTTTTTTTGAACCAGTTCAAAATTTTAAACTGGTTTTATTTTTTTTATACCAGTTTAATTTTTTTCAAATCGTCACTTTTTATTTTACTGAAGGGGAGTTTATTCTTTGTAATCCTTAAATAGTGAATTAAGTGATTAAGATTAAGCACTTTCGTTTTACTGATTAGGGTTAAGCATTCATTTTACTCATTAGGGTTAAGCAGTCATTTAGGGTCAGGGTTAGGGTTAGGTAAGGTTTGGTACCCAATGCTTTTCCACTCAGTCAAAGAAACAGCACCAGTATTGGTACACAGTAATGGCAGGGTTTGCAAATTTTATTGATGAGTGGAGTCACTGTGACTTCTGCTTCACAAATTTTGGAGTCATTTTGGAATATTTGGAGTCAAGTATCACAACGAAAAAAGCCATTTTCAGACTTTCCAGCACGTGGTCTTGGCATATGTACACTATCGTGAAGGATACACGGCGAAGCTGTGGCGGTCTGCTGACCTGGAAAGCTCAAATCCATGATGGCGGTCATCGAGTAAACTTTGATCATAATTTACCCTATTCCTGTTTTGTCGTGCAGTATAATTCTTTAATTTTAATGATTTAATTAAGGTTTACAACGTTTACAGTTAACGTAAATTGTATTTGTTGCGAAAAAGGTAAGGGCAAAACTGTTACCGAAAATTTCTGGAGTCGAAGTGGCTCACTGTTTGTTACCGAAAATTTCTGGAGTTGAAGTGACTCCCTCCGTAACCTCTGTGGAAATTTGGCGTATTTGCGAACCCTGCAGTAATGGCTTTTTTACTTCTTGAACCTCGGTAATAAGTACTACTTGACAAATTATGTAAATACACTACATAGCTTTCTTGCACGCTGCAGAAAATGTCAGCTCAGTAGTGTAATCAAGTTCAATGTTCTGAGAAGTAGCTGTGCAAGGATATAATCGGGTGGGTGAAATTAATGTGTTTATTCTACCAAATTTGGTCACAACACATGCATAGGTGTTTACAATTTCTTCAACTTTTCCCAGAAGAAGATTGGAATGCAGAGGTGATGTCTTGTCAACAGGGTCAATTTTTATAGAGACAATAGGGCCATATATACGAGGAAAAATAAGACGCATCTTAAATAAAACGTGAACTGTACCATTTATACGAGCATGTCTTATCTAATAAGACGCGTCTTAGCTAAGCCGCATCTTATTTTAAACGAAATGTGCCGTTTATACGGAAAGTTCACGTCTTATTTTTCCTCGTATAAATGGCCCTAATGTCTCCAACTTTAAATTTTCTAGGTTGGTTTTTTTTTTGGCCTTGGGTTACCCAGGGTTTTCAACAGTTTTTGAAGTAGGAGTTGCGTTTATTTGAGTAGGAGTTGCAAGGCCCGGATGGCCTTGCTCTCTAGGGGGGTGTGGGGGCATGCCCCCCCAGGAAATTTTGAATTTCTAGACTCTTGGAGACGCATTTTCCCGCATTTTGAGACGCAGAACTAGCAAATTTTAGATATCAAAAATACTGATAAATTTTGATGCTTTTAGTAACTTTAACCACAATATTAGGGTACGGTTTAACCACAATCAGGGTTTTTATGTGGCATATTGTTGTAAGTTAATATTTAATGTTAAGATTTGGATTTTAAGGCTTTAGTATGTTAGTCATTGTATAGGAATTTATTGTACCTGATGATTTTTACCGTGTATAAATAATGATTAAAGATTAGATTAAAGATTAAAGATTAGTACATAATTTGGGTTGAAAAAAGTAAAAGTGATTAAGAAACAGCAAAGTTAATTGAATTTTCAATAACCAACAAAAGCTACTTGTGTACTTTGTTCATGTAGACCCATGTACTTGGATAGCTGTTTGTCCAGTCTAGACTGAAGCATTTTTTCTGGACCTTCTCTTGATGCCTAGAAAAGGCTCAAAAACATACTAAAGCTATACACGAACTGTTTTAAACTCAAACAAAATTTACAATTTTGAATATCCTTATTACTTATCGATCACAAACACCGTTCAGGCCTACTTCATCATTCAATTGAAGTGAAATATGGTAGTATCTACAAGTCAAAACATGGAGATTCTTTGTCTTCTGAGAAAAAGACTTTTAGTCAGAAAAGTCCTCACTATCATCGTCATCATCCTCCCATCCGCTGTCATGTGCTTCACTGTCGTCCGATTCGCCATGCTCTTCATCTAGGGAGAAGACTTTTGCTACTACTTCTTCTTGTTCTTTCTCCTCAATTTGAACTATTTCCTCTTCCATTTGTGTACCGGCATCTGCTTGGGTAATCTTCGGGAAAACATTACATTATTACCTGCAGCATCCTTTTTCTTTTTCTTGTTTGTCACTGTCAGCGACCACATCTCCCGTAAACCACGCTGTCGCTTTTCTGCCATTTTGCCGTGTTCTTGGAGACGAAATGTGGCGTTTTATATAGAGTGGCTTCAGAAACCGCTAACTACAATGTTCCCTGTAACTGAGACCCAGTCTTCGACTCGTCCTCAACGTTTACTCAACGTATTATGCAGAGAACGTATTTTAAAAGCAGACTTGAGCAATGTTTTGGCGAAATTCTCCAGAAGAATTTCAAGTTTGCTTGCTCGCAACAGCTTTGTGAACACTTACCACTTTTTATCAAAAGTTCTATTTATCATATAATTTACCTAAGGGAAAGTAGGCGTGGCAAATCAAAAAGTTGTCGTCGGATGCGACGGCCGATGGCTGATTTTGAAAACTCTGTTACCATTTTGTTGTTGTACTTTTCTTGATTTTCAGTTATTTTTTGTCGTTTTCTGGATTGTTCCTCGTGATGTTCACATTCTCTATGGCTTTTAATACCATAAACAGCCTCATATGGCGTCATCTTTATTGCTCGATGGTAGCTTATGTTTCTAGTATAAGCTGCTTCTGATGCTTTTTCACACCATTTTTGAACACTTGTGGAAGAGGTGCTCATTATTAATGCTCTCATAATTTATCCTCTTTCCAAGTTCGATTTGATCTTTCATCCAAACCTTGAATGGTTGGTGTTGCTTCCATCTTTTTGTTTGCGAATTCTTTACCATTGTCGGTTAGGATTTTTTTCGGAAAGCCATAGGTGTAGCAGTAGGGTTTGAATCTGGTAAGTACTTCATCGGCAGACTTGGCCTTCAGAGGTGTTATGTAAACATACTTAGTATGATGATCAGTTATGTTCATGGCCCATGTGTGCTTCTCAGTACAATCAGAAGGACAGTTACGGAAGTCCATTAAATCTATCTCTAGGAGAGATAGAAATGTCGGAGATTGAATAGGTTTATCAACAAGCTTAACACGGCTAGTTACTGACTGCGGCTCCGCATGAATTGGGCACGGGCCAGCAAATATGGCTACCACCTTCACATTGACTTTGGAATAGTTGTTACTGATCCATTTAGAAGTAATTTGTCGACCACGATGAGCAGTGCGATCGTGAGCGAGGGACAACACGTTGTGAATGTCCCTTTTAGGGACCACCTTTCTCTTGTTTTGTGTTATTATTGAGTTGTCTGAATAAGCCATGACTGTTGATTTTTCCCACTTCGACAGCATGTTTTCGTCGGATTGAATTCCAAGCTGCATCTTGGTCTGGTATTTAAGATAGGCTTTTGTTTTATCGAAGAATGAATCCTTGATAAAAAGCGTTATCTGTGATTCGTTTTTGGTCTGTTTGTTTTTCAAGGCATCCAACTGTTCGTAAAAGATTTGTCTCTGTACACACGGTACATGTACATGAGGTTCAGCCATGTTTCGAGCTCTAAGTCCCACTCTAAACCAAATGCGCATGTTTTTTACTGTATGAATATTTCAAGAACAAATTTGGCCGAGTGAAGGGGAGTCTGGGGCTAATTACTTATAATACCAACAAATATTCGTCGCTCTCCAACGAATTCTACCGTGGTCTAATGGAGAGAACGGATGGCAACAGATCTGGAGGTTGGTGGTGCAAATCCTGGTAAGAACAATATCAAGGTGAATAAATAAGTAGTGTAGAGGCAGAGTGGTAAATAAATCAGGGGGGGTAAATGAAAGATCCTGTGGGGTAGTAGGCTAGGATAAAAGACTAAGAGGAGATGTGTAGATGATAAATTGCAGGAAAAGTTCCATCCTTATCTCTCTTCTCTTTTATCTTGCATCTAATTCTTTTTCAGAACCCCCCTTAAAAAGCCAAGCCCCAATTTTTCATCCACACCCCAAAAAGAAAAGGCCCTTTTTGAGACAGTTGATTAAAAACTGGTTAACAAAAATTAAACTGGTTCAAAAAAATTGAGCTGGTTTGTAAAAAAATAAAGCAGAGGTTAAAATTGAACTACAACAGTTTCATTAATTATTAACTTAATGTGGGAGAAAGGGGTCAATTATCATTCTGACTGTAATATATCGAACGCATACGTGGAGATGTGATCATTGTTGATCCGCAAATGAGTTGATCCTGTAGCATATCATTGAGTGTTCCTCCATGACGAACTCCACGACACTTTCCCCTCCAAGACAATTTCTCTTAAATCGCTGTACAGTGACACTTGGCTTAGGCGAAAAAAGATTTTCCAACGTTTTGCAAATGACTTGCACTGTAATGCACTGTAGCCGGTTTTTTTGGTTTGCAAGAGATCTCAAATGAGGCCATATGTTTTGCTCCCATATATGCTGAGTAAGATTGCTCGCTGTTGCTTGTCATCTTCAATTTTGTTTGCCAGAAAGTATTGCTCAAGTCTCTCTGGGTAATGAGTCCATGATTCCACTGACTCATTGAACTTTCCCATGTTCCTGTAGGTTGCCGTTAAGGTGATTTTTACAAATCCTCATCGCTAATGTATTACATGTATATTGAACACATGGAGATGTGACTACATGCTACTTCAATGCTCATCAAGAAACTGAACTTAAAATCTTACATGTGTGATTGCATAACCACGGTGTTTGATTTCCACAACTACATATATAACTGAACCTGTATTACATAACACTGACCTTTTCCTGATGCTCAAAAATGTGCGCAAAATGTTGGGTCGTAACAAAATGCAACCATCTTATCTTTGATCTACTGTCTTTCAAAAGGGAAAAGGGCGACAACAAGACTACAATAAACTCACTCTTCAGACTATAATGGTAGGTCTTCCAAATCAATTGTAAGACATTGTGCGCATCATCGACAGACTTGCAACTGTTTTGCAGCTGCAACAAGGCCAGCTCGAGTACTTTCAAATCTTGTGTTTTTTTTAGCTGGAACAGTGGATGCCTTGGGTTTGAATAACAAAGTGAGTGTCCCTTGGTGTTTTTGTTGAGGAGTGATACTTTTTCTGATAGAAGGGCAATCCTTCTTGTTACTAGCTAATGGCTCTGCCCTGACTACGGGTACAAAGTGGTTTGCTGTATACAGGTTGCAGTCCTGTTGTCCAAATTACCATCCCTTGACCAAAGAATGGTTATGGCTTCCTTGTTGGGCATGACAGAGTTATCTGAAGTGCTAGGGTTGATAATTTGGTTCACCCAACAGTGGTATTTAAACTGGATGGTAGAGTACATCAAGATTATTGGTTTGGACAGAACAGAGCTCATACCCATGATGTGAACAAGGGAAAACCGTTGTCTGATCTCACCCACTACTAAAGCTTCCTTTGTCTTAGAAAATTTGTGATCACCTCTCCTTGTTAAAGCAACAGAAAATAGGACATCTGGTTTTCATTAAAAATCAAGACAACGAACAAGATATTGTTACACTCCTGTTTTAGCAAAAAGTGAGGCAAAGTGTTCACTGCTAGCCCTTATATTTTGTAATAGCCAAGGTGAAAACTACGTGCAAAATTGCGACTCCTCCCTATGTTTTAGTCGCAAATGGAAGAAATTAAGTCACAAATGCGATTGTTTTGGTTGCAGTTTTGAGCCCTGTGATGGCACATTTACTTGGGTGTCAGTTAGCTGACTGTTTTGAATGGGTTTTGATGCCCTTTCTTTGGCTGTCTGCCCTTTTTTACAGAAGTGTTTATGGATTGTTTGTGATTTCTGTTTTGGAATGCATCTACTGGTTTTGTGTAGAGTGTACTGTTCATCCTGTTTATTTTTAGAGTTTTGATTACATGTGTTGAAATGGTGTTTTTTATACACATGTATCGGAAATCTGTTTTTGCAAATTGGCTAGTTGTGCATTGTTGTGGTTTACAATGTGGCTCGCTGTGTGTGTTTAGTCGAGAGGTTTCTCATTTACATGCGTATTTCTATAAATAAATTATTGTCTTTATTCACCACAAGATATGTCACATAATTGCTGCCCACACAGTGAAGCTACCTATTTTTTTTCTTGAAAGCATCTGAGAATTGATTTGCTAGAAAGTTTGTTGGGATGTTTATTTTGCTGTTTCAGTTACCAGTTCCCAGTCCCCGCAGCATAGCACTCCATGCAGCAAAGTATAATGACGACCAAAATTTTATTTGAGAATCTTGTAAGCGCTAAGAAAGTAAAAGTCTATAATTTGTTCTAAACACACTTTAAAAAGGAAATTGCAGTAAACTTGTTGTAGTGTTTGTTAGCAGGCTTCAATCTCGACCTCTTGGTTAGACATTTGTGAGTGTTATGTATGTGGTTGAACTCCAAAGTCAAAATGCGAGTACCAGGGACACATATTTTCTGCATTGCAGCCGGTAAGTTACTCATTTGCATGTCATGTTAGTTTTAAAGTTAAGCATTTTGGAAAGGTGGTGAAGGCTTAAGGGAGGATTTGAGGGGAAGATTATGTTCTTTCATGTGTTTCACAGCACTGTCATTCCATAAGCCCAACCAGTTATCAGGTATGGATCATGAACCAGGGTTTTCATGAAGAATTCTAGTAGCAATATTAAGGTGTGATGTTACAGGAGAATATTTTGAAATACGCTCCTCATCTGAATAAAAATAGTCACAGTCTACTGAACGTTTGTCAGAGAATTTTTCATAGTAAACGGAGAATTCTCTGATCTCCGATGCCTAATGAACACCCTGTGAACACAATCGATGAAATTGTTGCTTAGTTTTGTTGTACATGCAAAACAAAAACAGAATCCATTACCTCTCCACACCTCTTCCAAACACTTAGATCACTTTCTATGCCCACATCAGGGGAACTACGCATTGGAACAGCTGCTGCCAATGTTTGAGGACCTCTACAGCAATAATAATCTTGTTGGAAATGTTGAAAATTCCTTTGTGGTCTTTTACATTATTATTTTATGATTTGTTCTGTGAGGGTTAAATAATGAAAGATGTGTGGTTCCAAAAATCATTCAGACCGTGTACATATTTATGGTACCAAACAATATCAATAAAATCTTACTAATGTTAAATATTGAACATTATTGTCTTCAGAATGTTATCCGATCTCTTTTAGGGAGAAATTATTGGAAGAATAACCAAAAAGTGAAGAGGTTCTTACAACAACAATCAACAGTTCTTAATGAAATATGATGTTGTTAATGAAGAGCTAGATATCACAAAATACAGCTAACAGAACAACCAGGCAGTCATTAAAATGTTGCCTTTGTCAAAAGGTCATGGTTGGTGCATGGCTTTGCAGCTCTTATTTGAGCAGAATTTAACCTTAATATTAACTGGTAGAAAAATACATGGAGTGATAATGTATGAGGAATCCTGTTGTCCTTGACCAGGATGCATTCTGCAATCTGAAAGAGGACTCCCTCTGTGCCTGACAGCATAAAACAGCAAAGAACATGTTTCAAGCTTCAGCAGGCAGAGAGCATAATTATCTAGAGGTACCGGGTACGGAATTACCATCCTCATGTTAAGTCTAATTGTTGATCCTGTACTCACACTAACTTTTTGCTCAGCAGTAACTGTTGTGGATGAACATGTGGCTGTACATCTTCATCTACATCTACACGTATATCTACACATATTAGGCCAGTAAAAATCGCTAAGACATCACACCAACCATAAAATAATATACAATAGTGATATAAAATTAAATAAGAATAACTATGTAACCATTGCTTTGATTTACAAGACTCTGACGAAACTGATGATTCAATAGCCTCAGGGAGGCTGGTCCAGACCAACGTCCAAAAAAGTGAAAATATAAAAATGTCCTTATTGGATTCACCAGATGCTGATAGAGGTGCAGTGTTAACTGGACCTGAAACACATGACATTTTCAGCACACAAAAAAGAATATAAAAGAGGCAAATGGTTCACAACTTCATCTTTTTTCTGTTACCTCTTTTCTTTAAACAGCTTCTGTTTGTGCAGGTGAACTGTCTATCACGCTTCTGAACATGACAATACCCAGTGGGGCTAGATAGGCCCTGGAAATCACTGTGATATATGGCATAGCAGCATTGAGAATTTTTGAACAACATATTTGAAATCTTCAGGTGGTTGAAGTGCATCCAACAACATTTTTTGAGGGGAGTCATCACTGTTGTAACTCTTGATGTCTTCTTCTTGTAAGTTCTTGGCCGAAGTTGGCAAGGAACATGACTCTACCACATTGTAATGTTCACAAGAAAAGGGAACACAACTAGCAACATGAACTGCCCTCTTTTGTTGCATTTTGGAGTGACAAACAAAATCTGAGCTTGACTACACACAAACACTCTATTGTGTTTGGATTTGATTTCAACAGAAAATAACTTGAGTTGGGATGATTCAACTACAAGGACACACTTTGGCGAGTCTGTGTCTAATTTTGGCTTATTTACTTTCCGCACGTGTTCCCTCCCTAATTGCAAAACCCCAAATCGGACAAGTTTTCGGCTTCGATACATTGGAATAGGTGTAACCACTGGGGCACTGCCCA